GTTTCTGGCTTTACCCCTTGCATCTCGAGTGTATTTGGGGAAGACGTCCCTAGCTAGTATTGTTTTAATCATTTTTCATTGTTTTGTATGATTTTGTAAAAAAAGGGTGAACATGGTTACGGTGTGCAGAGCTGACAGGCTATCATATAAACAGTGTTCTTGGTACGACACCTGCCGTTTAGTCCCAGCTCATAACCATTATACTTTAATCATCCGATGAACATGAAGTGTTTTTCCAGGCTGTCAAAGTAAGCAATGAATTTCGATGCTATCTGCTTTTGAGAGAACGCCTCTGGCTATTTCGAAGCAGATATGCGGGTCGCCAAAATATTATGAAAGCCTTTTACTTAAGCATTTACTATCTCATCAGTCGAAAGTACCCTTACCGTATGCATGACGATTGCAAATAGCAAGGAGCAATCAAATAGGCACAAAGAAACGTTTGCCCTCAAGAACAGAATCACCTAACCAACTTGTTCAGACGTTCATTAGCGTGTATTCACAGGCAACTCAGAGCACTTCAAAGGGAAGATAAATATCTGCCGCAATATCGTACTCAGACCATAACCAGCATTGCCATCACGCCATATATGTCAACCATCATACTAATGCCATCATCCAACTCACAAGAAAGTCCCCCAGCTCCCCAATACTACATATTCTTCACACCACGAAACTTCATTCATGCAAGGTTGCTAATTTACGCCGAGTGAGCGCTGGGACATGAACAAACAAGACTCTGGCAACACCAGCTATTACTGGGGCTACCTCGAGTCGGGGAGCAAACAACGGTCTTATTGTGGTGACGACCGACCCCGCGCTCGAGCAAACGCGACCGCCGCTCGATACCGAATCAACTGCTGACGGGGCGAATGACAGACGGCGGTCGAGCGCGCCTCCCGCAAACGACTTCGGCGTTAACATACAGACCGCCCCCGACCAGCAGTTTACGGGTGGCGGATAGTGTCTGCCCTGGTTAGGTCAACCGGCCTCCATGTTTTGTCGTCCAACAACGGATTAAAACGTTTTTCCTTGCGAGCGGCCACCTGCAACCTTCACAACTTAAATATTTTAGCTAAATCGGTGATAATGATCAACGGTTTGCAGCAACTATGAAATTCTACTATTTATGAGATACATTTCACAGAGAAAAAGGCTCTATCAGCAAGACTGGGTGAGGTTAATAGAACTGTTCCATATGTATGATACTTTGAATTCAGACAGCCATTTTCAAGATAATCGCCCGCAGTTTAGAGTTATGTCTCCTTTTAAAACTACAGGTCCTTTCGCTTCTGAGCTAGGCGCGCGCCAACTCATGCACGTTACTTCGCAGCGCACATTACAAAGACACCCAGAGATGTTTGCTTTCGTAGAAAGGTCACAAGAATTACACCTCTTCAACAGCCTTACTGTCTTTAATGTCAAGAAAATCTGGCCATGTACTTATTTATGTCTGGGGTGCGTCAGCACGGACCGTCGCATCAACAGGCAGCAGTTGGCTTTCAAGAAGCTGAACGCCTTAAATGCAAGTCTTGCTCACGAATCGCCTTTTGTGATACATAATAAAGACATTCGGACAGTCTTGCTAGTTATGACGGACATGAGGCTGGGAATCGAATAACGCCGGAGTAGCACCGTAACCGAGAATGCGAATGCGAGGAAAACTTTAAATCAGGAACTTTGCAACATCACGTGGAAGCGTGACAAACACGCACATAACGCTGAAAACATACGTGTACGCACATGCCACCGATGTCACCTTGCAGCACGTTAAGTACCATTAGCGAGTCAGCACGTCCAATGCGGCGGCAAACCTGACGTGGGCAGTCTGGCAGCGATTCTGACGTCATAAAGACGTTTCGTGACGTAATCAGCTGATAACCCATTGCCAAACATATTTATACTGCAAACTGTTTACAGCGACCCTCGCCGGATTCACCGTATTTTGAAAACGCACTGATCCGACAGTCGATGTCTCCCCCGCCTTTTCCAAACTAAAAAAATGAGTTGCGGAAAGAACCAGTGGATTTGTTTCAGTAGGATGTCGCCGATTGGTATCAGTATTTATATTGATGGGTCAAGAATTGACCTCACTAGGTCAGATCAAATGTGCAATTTTCTTCAACTCGCACCATCTAATTTGCGGTTCCCAATATTCATGGAACCACGCCGAGTAGCATCATATAACTTACACGGACGTGTTTCTCCAGCTCAGAGCACATTGTAGTCTTGTATGTTTTGAGCGCATGCTCATGATGCTGGAGTCCGTTGATGTAAGAGTGAGGGCCCGCTGCGCGCGGTCGGCAGCGCGACGGCAAAGGGCTGGCAAACGGCGTTCGTTAAGACCGTCACCTCTTGGAAACTGAATATTCTAGAGACATGTTTCTAATGTCACAACACGTGCAACAGACGCCCCACAGACGTGTAATAGGCCGCTAGAAATAAAGGCGCGCACACATGACATAACGGCATAGTTTTGCGGCTGACGTGCAGACTTCTTGTGCTAAAACAAAGTTACGGCATGCTACATTGCCGACAGGAGCTCACTTGGCATATCAGTGCAGGAAGAAGATGCTGTCTCTTCAAGTCGCGTTCTCCGAACTGAAAGAAGTACACAAATTCCATTTCACTTCATCAGCCAACAAATAACATACGCCTGGTTTCCAAGACTTTTTTCAGGGAACCGGTTCCTGGTTCCTCGTTTAGGGGCCAGGAAAAACCCAGAGCTATTTTGCAATTAGGCGTTGGGATCCAGTAGAAACTAAGATTCAGCCTTATATTAAATGAAAAGATCCAACAAACACCAAGATCCAGCTTGACAGTGAGCCGATAGGTCCTGCAAGACCTATGATCCAGTCTCATACCAAGCTAAGAGACCCAGTAAGAAGCAAGATCCAGCAAGAACCAAGATCCCGTCTGGAACATACAGATACCAGCAGGAACCACAATGCAGCTCACAATTTAGCTGAGATCTAGCAAAAACCAATATCGAGTCTGGAGTTATACTAAAGCAAGCAGCAAGAACCAGACTCTTACCTGATTCTTGGTAAGACCTTGTCAACCACGATTTTCGAGATTCAACAAGGTGTTACTCATGGGTTCAATGTTTCAAAATAGGTTGGCAGGCTGGGCATGAAAGTGGTTATACCCATTTTCACTTTTTCTTAAAGTTGGAAGGGCTGAGGTGTCCCAACAATATAAAAATACACCCCTGGTGTTCCTTAAAGTTGAAAATGAATGGGAACAATATACATTAACTACATCAGAAACCTGCAAAAATTCAATTCTTTGATGTAGTCTTGCCTCACTGAGATCTATCTCTTGAGATCCTGATTTTTAAGCTTTTTTTGCATCCATGCAATCTTGTGTATATGGCTCCAATATCCCTTTGGGCTCTTGCAACATAAAGATCCTCTCCAAGGCTGGTTAGTCAAATGTCAGCAGATAAGAAGCATAGCTTCACACTACAACAACCATTGGCACACTACAACAACCATTGTTTTGAAATCATCGCTTCTTTGCCTCACAATGAGCCTGTAAACAAACTCTTTCTTACCGGTGATTGTCTCGGAGGCTCCTTCCAACCCAACAAGCCGCCAGTAGCCACAAACAAGGGTGACCGCAAGCTTCCATGACGGCATCATAGCAACAGAAAGGACGTGTTGTAACACCAAATAATGCCGGTATATTCCAACTCCAACTGATCTATTCCGCCGTGTGCCCATTTTGGCGAAGGTGATAGACATCGGGTACCACCGAACCGATCCCAAAACATTGGTAGTTTATATATTATTATAGTAATGAAAAGGCTGTAATCACTAGAACTTATTTAGATAGAATCTAGTATGATGACCTACAAGCGGAATGACGTTAGCTCTGCGTTACATTTGTTCAGAGACTGTGTAAGTTCGTAGGCAATGAATGGAGGACCGATTATCATCTGGCTGACCCACACTAACTATTTATCTCTATCTACCATCTCATCTGTTCTAGGGCATCAGATTCTGGCGCAGCCAGGTGGCTGTCTTTAAAACGCGGACATTGACACATCTCGTTCTGATAGCAACAAGAAGGGTTATATTAAGGGTTATATATATATATATATATATATATATATATATATATATATATACATATATTGTATGATATATGGTCATAGATATGCAAGATAGATATAGATATGCAAGGGCTATATATAATTTGATGGATATTTGCAAATTTGGCAAACAAAAAGGAAAGCCTCAGCCTTTTCTGGCTTCCTAATTCGCTTCACTCTTGTAAGAGGAAAAACATTTTTTTTAAAAATGTTGCAACCCTAACAGCTGCAAGTCTGACGGCATCGTAAGGAGATCCTGATTGCTGGATATTTGGAATTCCAACAGTGCGTCTATTTCCTTGAAATCTAATTGAGTACTGCAAGATCTTGATGTGGCTGATTAGTGTTTCAGCTGTCGGGTTCCCAGTTATAAATGTGTCCTGCGCCATCGCTGAACGAAGCGATCCCGCAAGCACTTGTGTAAAAGACTTGCAGTGATCACTGAATTATGCAGTCTGAGGTCCATCGAGCTACTTCAGTCTGGCTCGTATGTCTTTTAGAATGCATTTTGATTTTGTAAACAGAACACTCTTACATGTCCATAAATCCCTGTATGTTGCCTCCTGTCGCGTTATATATATATATATATATATATATATATATATATATATATATATATATACATATATACGTGTGTGTGTGTGTGACATTACATATATATATATACATATATATACCTATATATATATATATATATATATATATATATATATATACATATGTGTGTGTGTGTGTGTGTGTGTGTGTATGTGTGCATATCTCTCTCTCTCCCTGTGAGTTGTCTGGCTACCTGGTATCGCGTGGAGCGTGCGCGAGCGCCGAGGACAGCCTGCTGTAAGTGGCCATCCAGTCCAGATCTGGCTCACCCCAGCTGGATGCTGACCCGATGACGTGTATGCCGCAGCACGGCCGTCTTCCCTCCGGCGGAGACCACAAATCCGGCCCGCTGCTCCGCATATACCACATATCCCGCGAAATGGCCGGGGTGTACGAGTGCGAAGCGGAGAATGGCTTGGGAACCCCTGGTGTGGCCACTGTCAGCGTACACGTGCACTGTAAGTAAACCAGTTAGCCTCGTCAGCAATCATTTGAATGCGGATGCCGGAGACGCAGCAACCCCACCGTGAACCGCTTCCTCTTTTGTTTGATTATTTTAGGCGTTGCCACAGGCACCCTCTTACAGGTAAGCACTTGACTGTTGAGTTTAAGCTGTGTGTTTAGTTCAATATTGAAACTGCTGATGTACCTATGCACTGAATTGCATGCTTTTTTTAAAGATTTGATCCGAACCCTTTGAATGGATGGATTTCCGGGAACAGAGCTCACGCTAAGCAGTGCTTGTTGTGTGAGCCCTGACCCCTACTATCCGATCGCGCAATTCCAGGCAACGGCAGAATTTGGTGGCGAAAGCTTAACGTGCCGCAATGCATTGATATCGCCCCAGGGAATGCTTGGTGCTGCTTGGTACTGATTATCCACTGAGCATGCTTCGCATTCATTATGCACTGAGAATTCATCGTACTTATGCAATGAACCGCTTTGTAATTAAGCTCCTTGCTCCCCTCGTGTCCGGAGAAACGTGTAATGCACTTAAACCGGGAGTACTAGTCATGCACTTGTTCAGGTTCCGGGCTGCTCTTGCACAAACAATAGTGCGCAGTTATATGCCATTCTTTTGGTTCTGAATGTGGGCTATATCGATCTGTCTCATGGTCTGTGTCCATCAGTATGCTGTCAACGTGCTCCTTTCATGGGGCAGGTCATAAAAATGAAAACATTTTCCACCCCATGAGACGATCCCTGGACAGATTCCCTGGGGCGATATCAATCTTCTGGACGGATGGCGGCCCTTAAACGTCAGAAGCTCGTAGATGTCCGTGCCGTAGGTCCTAAAACGTCAGGGCTCGTAGATGTCCGTGCCGTAGGTCCTAAAACGTCAGGGGGTCATAGATATCCGTGCCGTAGTTCCTAAAACGTCAGGGGTCATGAATATCCGAACCGTAGGTCCTAAAACGTCAGGGGCCGGTAGATGTCCGTACCGTAGGTCCTTAAACGTCAGGGGCTCGTAGATGTCCGTGCCGTAGGTCCTAAAGCGTCAGGGGCTCGTAGATGTCCGTACCGTAGATCTTAAAACGTCCGCGGCACGCAGATATTCAGACAGAATGTAAAAGCACACCGATGATGAAATCACAAGGGAGATAGGGATTGAAAGATAGCCAGAGATGCATTGACAGTGAAAGGTTCGGCGATGGTCATGTGTTCAACAAAGGTAAGCGAATCTGAGATAGTAAGGGGTTGATGATTGTCGGGGTACAAAGAAAGCTGGAGGTCAGGAGAAGAGTCGGGGGCCCCAGCATACTCTGGAACGCGGTGTACGACAAAAAGTTTAAATGTGTTCCATTCAGACAAAACAGCCCGCGGGTTATCTGATAGCTCAAATATAATTGTATAGTGTTGAGGCCATCAAGGATGCGAAGCCTTTCCGTCTAGCTGGGACCCATGCGCTTTGGAAGCCAAAAACTTGACTCTTTTAGGGAAGTGTTCCACATAAGTATGGGGTTTCGAAATGATGCAACCATCTTGAAGGTTATGTGGTGCAGTTCACGGCCCTGCCCGTCTTGGGAGCTTCCATTCTCTAATTTCTGATCCTCACGCCCGCCAAGACTTGCGGCGTGTTTCGTACAGACTATTTCAAGGTCACCCAGGCATCCATGGTGTCGTAATAACGGCATTCCAAGCCCGCCATTCAACTAGTCATGCGGCGTTCAAGGTAAAGAATATCATCATCGCGTCGTGTCATATATGTTGTTCGTGGGCACGATTTCCAGCAATGACGACCGTCAATTGGCTTTCAACCAATCTTGTGCAAGCTGTGCAAGACACTAAGAGACACGTTCTGTGCCATATTATAAAATAGATACACACTCTTTCAGGCGCCTGGTGCTGTTGGGTCACCCTCGGGGCATGATTGTGTGTCGACGAATGCAGAATACCACACTTTCCCGATCTTTGTAGCACACAGAGTTCTGAAGATAGTTTACAGTTCTAAATTTAGTAGTTTTGACTGCTTAGCATTGTTTGACATGCCAAATGTCATAAGCATTGATATTTCTTTGCACCAATATTATGCGTGATGCGTGAGCCATTGGGAGACGCGGCTTCCCGCTTGGGTCTAGTCGTTTGCGGTTCTCTAGATAAGGGGGACGAATGGGGTGTGTGGGGGAGGGCTGTGAACCATGCTTTTCATTTAAACGATACACGCTTCGATTTGCTACGTGAGCACCACAGCTAACCCACGTTAAAGGTGCATGTTACGTCAGCTAGTAAGGCTGGTGACGGATCTGTGGGTGACGTCACCGATCGTAATTGTGATGCTGCCGTGACGGGTTTGCGGCGCAGATCCCCCCGAGGTGAAGGTGGAGCGCAGCACCATCTACACGGGCCAAGGGCCTCGAGGTGGAGCTGGTCTGCCTCGTCTTCGCCGACCCGCCGGCCGTGGTGAGCGAAGTCACACGGTCACACGAGGCCGCAGGTCACAATGTTCAGGATTTCTGACAGTGGCAGTTATCCTTCCAGCCACGAACATTCATGGCCAATTTAATGGGTTTTTATGGCAGTTGTTTGCCTTGTGCTCGGAGCTGACGACTCGGAGTGCTCGATGCCGTAGAACGTGGCCATGTCGTATGTCATGTTCAAGACGGATGCTGAGACATCGGTGAGACGCGGCGTTAAAAACCAATTCGTGGTGTTGTAGGATTCAGCGACTGTTCTGTGCGGTATGAGCGCCGCTGTTCTGTGCGCAGTGAGCACCGATGACATGTGCGGTGTGAGCGTCGCTGTCCTGTGCGTGGTGAGCGCCGCCGTTCTGTGCGGGGTGACCGCCGCCGTTGTGCGGTATGAGCACCGCTGTTCCGTGCGGTATGAGCGCCGCTGTTCTGTGCGGGGTGAGCGCCGGTGACATGTGCGGTGTGAGCGCCGCTGTTCTGTGCCGGGTGAGCGCCGGTGAGATGTGCTCGCGTCCAGTCGTTGTTCTGCGCAGAGCGCGGTGTGACCGGCAGCGGTCCCTGCAGGTGTCGTGGGAGCGGCAGGGGTCGCCGTTCGACCCGGACCGCCACTTCACTCCCCGTCACGACGTGGGCCAAACTCGCCACTCGCTCACCATTCAGAACGTACGGCCCGAGGACTTCGGCACCTACTCCTGCCACGTCAAAAACTCACTGGGCACTGCCACGGCGCAGATGGTGGTCACCGGTACGACAGCGCGCACGCCCTGTGTGCGGCGGGGCTCACGGCAGACCCCGCCCGCAGTGTTCGTTTTCCGCCATATCATCGAGCTTTGCAATGTTTATCTGGGTGTTTCAGATAAAACGCATGAAACCATTCATGCCGGCCAGATCTCTAAGAAAGAGGCATCGTATCCTGCTGGTGTTCTTGAAATGTTTACCTGTGTTTTCGTGCAGCGCCTTTTCAGGCTATTTGGTCCCGAATTAAATATATGAAATCATATATTCAGAATCAGCCGCGCGGCAATCACTTCATTCTAAGGCTTGGCCGTCACCGCTGGGGCTGCGACCTCCGAGATGACCGGAGGTGACCGTGACCTTCACCGCTGGCAGGCGTCCCTGACCGGGCAGTGATCACCAGCGGAGCCATCAGTACGGCGCCCGAGCTGTACGAGCTCAGCTGGCAGGTGGAGAGCTTCAGCCCCATAATCGAGTATAAGGTCGCCTACCGACCGGCCAAGGTCAGTAACCCAGCCTCCTTTGGGCGACCCAAAACTATATCTCAACACAATGCGCATGAGATGGAAGTGCGTCTGTGCTTTTCATGGAACGGCTGTAGACAACATAACAATGCGTGCTCGACAAGCCTTTGGGCGTGTTTGTCCTTGCTCTGTTGTTTTTCCTTCGTTGCCCTGTGTTGGCTTCTGTCAGACGGCTGTGACCCTTTAACTGATAACCTCACATCCCCTGCTTGTAATTGTGGATATGTTGTGCCCTGGCGGTGGGGTGCGAATTGGCCGACCAGTGAAGATATAATAAGCGCTTCACCATATTTCTAGTCACCTTGGAAATGTGCAAGGGCGTAATGTAAAACAGTACACCACTGTCCCTTGCACTAGATAAAATAGTCTGTAACATAGCGAGATTGCCCGTGCTTTTTTCGACTCTTACTCGCCATGTTGATGAGCTGCGCTTCGAATGGTTCAATGTGGACTTCGAACGTACTTCGAATGGACTTCGAATGGGCTTCGAATGGTTCAAACGATGCTTTTTCGTTCCTAATAAGCAATGCGTCGTGGTTTGGAACACGTAATAACTGCTTTGGTACACCAAACCGGCATTTTTGTACGTGCCTGTGCACTATTTTTACACACATGCGCACACACGCACAAACACACACACACACACACACACTCACACACGCACGCACGCCCATAGTATGCACACGACGCCCTCTTAGTGTCCGGGTGCCGATAGTGCTATCGCTAAATCGTGCGCCTAGGAATCCAGGGTTACAGGGTTTGATTCTCCGCGGTGCCCGCCCTGCTTGCCAGGGTAAGAGGCAAGTGACGCCATATGGTCTGAGCAGTTGGGTGCGTCGTAAGGCCTCAGTGGCACACACAGACGCCCTCTGTGTGTCGGGGCAGGCTCACTTGTCTCCATGTGAGGTCTCCAGAGTCGCATCTTCGCGTGCCGTTCTCCTCCGCAGCCCCGGCGTGTGGGTCCTCCCCTTGCGTGACTCCAAGGACCGATTCCCTCGCTTTTGCGCATTTCTGAAGACCACTCCTTTTCTCGTGCTGTGTCCGCGTGCCACTCCCTCCCTCCGTTTTTAGCAACAAGCATTATTTCTGTATGTTCATCTGCAAAGCCTTCCTATCCCCCACTGCGTGTCGCCACTGGCCCCTTCCCCACCCCCATATGCACGTCTCCTCTGGTATCTCCCTCCCTCCCTCTTTGTGTCTTTACAGACCGCTCCTTCCCTGCGCGTGTCTGCGGGTCGCCCCCTCGCCCTGCGTGTCCCCACAGTCCTCCGGGCTGCCGTCTGATGAGTTTATGGCCCCGCAATCCGGCTGGCTTATACCGTCATCCCACCAGCCGATTGATAATTCTGGCCGGCGGCGCCAGGCACGGCCTGGTGTTTTATCGCGCTGTCCCAGCCGCGCCGGTCCCAGCGCGAGCAGACGTCACCGACCCCTCCCCCGACGACAGCCACCTCCGGCCGCTGTGACCCAGTCAGAGCCGAGGGCTTCGGACGCCCCATCCCCCTCCCCCACCCGCTCCGCAGCAATAGATCGGAGCGCTGAAGCCGCGCCTGATGTCGGTAGGTGAATGCGAGCGGCTCTGTGCAGGCTCGGTGGCGAGAGGTCAAGGTGCCGACCACCGGCAGCCCCTCCGGCCTCCTCTACCGACAGCAAATCCCGCTGGCTAAGCTTCAGCCGGCCACCACCTACCAACTCTACGTACAGGCCAAGAACGAGCACGGTTGGAGCGCTGTCTCCAATATGCTGCACTTTTCCACCATCGCCAGGGGTGAAGGTGTGTTCCGTTGATTTATAAGCTTACCGTTAAACATGTTTTTTAAATGATCTAAGTTATATACTTGCAGCAATCAGCACCCGTCAGACGTCATGAATTACTTTGCGGTCATTTGCTGCTGGCGTGTCAGACAACCTCCCGCGCAGCTACCAAAACTTGTTGTATTTGAGTGTTTGTTTTACATAAAAGATGCACATCGGCGTCGGCGTCGTGTCTCGAACTCCTGCCTAACACATTCCGGTTGTTATGCGACAAACAGTTCGTCTAAATGGCAGGTGCGCCGGCCGCTGGATGCCAGTTTGGTGTGTTACCGTTTCAGCCCTGGAGTCCCGCAGCCTGTCGTCGGGAGGCGTGAGAGGAAGCTGGAGAGGTGCCGCTGTCGCTCGGGCGGCCGCCTCCATCGTCCTGCTGCTGACGCTGTGCTAGTGGCTGGGCGCACCTGCGCCGGACGGAGTCGGCTCAGCCGATGCTCGCTGGGAAGCGCGGCCGCCGCCGACCTGCGGCCGCGCTGCGCCGCCGCTCGGCCGCCGCACACCAGCTCGCACGAAACGGTGTGCTCTGTGGTGACCTGTTGAGGTCGGTCACTGACCTTCTGAGCGTCCGGAGCGCGCCGCTCAGCCTCGTGCAGGAGAAGCCTGCGGAGCCGAGCTGCGGGACGCCCATACGGGAGCCGAGCACGCCATGATGTCCCGGCTCGGGACGAGCTGACCGGCCTGGGCGCGGGCCTCGGCGCGTCCGCCGCCCCCGTCACAGTCAGTGGACTGACTCGATGGTGCCTTGCTCGTTTGACGTTGTGACTGGCGTGAGTACGTGGGTGTGGTATATGGGCCGTATTTTTGACTTGAACGTGGGCTACACTGGCCACTCAGTGATATGACCTTGTGCGGAAAGACCGAGACAGCTGGGGAACAGTGGTTTTGTGTCGCACGTTGGCCGCGTCGCGTGTGACGTCTTGCGACGTCATCTTTGTCACATATTCGAATGCTGTGAGACAGTTGGCCGCTTTTGTCGGCTGGACATCTGATTGTGGATGCGCCGTTGTCTCACTTTGTTGATATGTCTGCGCGGGCGTGGCCGTCCGCTCAGAGCTCAGCATGTCGGGACCGACTGCGATGCGACCCGCGTCGGTGATTCGCTCCCAGCCTGAAACACGCTATCTCATAAAGTCTTGAGTATCCGTTCATCGCTTCCAATAAACCTGAGAACACATAAATGACGTGCTCAAATGACCCACTTGATATCCGAACCTCGAACGGAAATGCATAAATCTTTACGTTACGAGTAACGAACCTGAATCTCCTTTCATGATGATCCTTGCATGTCTTTGATGAGTCGGCTGAGACGGGTAGGGGGCGGAGCGTGCGACGCGGCGGGACTGGACGGCGCCGGCGCCCTGCCTCAGCCGTCGGGACGTGCAGCTGTCCAGCCTTACGGCATGTGCGCGCGCCGTCATCCCCATACCGAACTCACAGAGCTACAGTGAACGCGCCCGTCCCATCCGCTTCGAAAAGTGTTGTCCTGATTTTCGAAAATACCCTGATTTCGCCTGACTTTTGCCACATCTGAATGCGTTAACGTGATCTTCGCTGGATGTTTCTCGAATTTCGGGCCTGCATTCTGTCCCTTATTTTCATTCATCTCTGACGCTCCTTTGTCGCCGGGTCGAGGTCATTCTCTTATCTCGAGTACGCTCATTGGCTGCTAAAAAGATTGTAATCTTGTGCCAGCGATGAATGAAAATAAACAAAGATAAATGTGATGCATCTTTGGCAACACAGGGTGACAACAGCGCCCGAAATTGGGTTTTACCTTTAGGCCAGAATCAGCAAATTTTGCAAGAGATTGCCGAAAGTCACGCACGAGTTTTGCAATTAGTTTCAATTTTATCCGTGACCAAGTGCAGGACCGTTACTTGAAGTGATCGCACGAGCTTAATTCAGCTGCTGATAGTCGGAGGGCTATCAGAGCTTACGAAATCCACTACCTTAGCACTATAAGCTTTATGACGCGAGCAGCTTTTAATACTTTTCGCGCTGCCTTGTTTCGCAAGTTTTCCTACGGATTAACTCGCGCTCGGGTTGAGAGGTCAACTTGACCTCTCAGGCGGTTTTTCGAACTGGTTTCTGAACGGCCCGGCGAACCTGGCCAAATTTTGTATAGCTGTAGAAAGTGAAATAGCAAATCGCTTAATCCCAAAATTTAGATGCGACTTTTAAGGTCGCTGACCTATGTCAGGTCAAAGGCAAGCCATGAATTCAGCGAAAACAGTTTCTAGAAAATCGTTCAATCTGATGCAGTAATGGACTGTCAGGCGAAACCATACATCTCTGAGATAGTTTCTTAGGCAGCACAAGAATTGGATGAACAAATTCCACTGCCCTTCGGTCAGGTATGAAGGTCAGACTAAGGTCAAAACCAACCTGCTTTGCTACTCTAAAGCTTGCTGTATTGGACAGTTTCTGGTGTTCATTTCGGATTTGTCGGTAACAGGAACCGCACTATACATCCTTTATGGACTTCTTGAAGGTCATAACAGGTCACTTATCTGAAAGGACCCAGGTCGACATTGTTTTTAAGAACGTACTGCTTAGCATAATCGTTGATGCCTATTCAAATGCAAAACTCAAAGCAGTCCTGTATTATTTTGCTCACCATGACCCCCGAAAGGTTTAACAATGTCACCAACTTAAAATGAGCACCAGTGACCTTTTGTTTGGAACAGGCACCAAGGTTCTGCGGGAACTTTGGACACCAGTCTGGAGTTTGACATTGTTTTACCTTATTTGACCGAATGTCATGACCTAGGAACGTTGAACTTTGGTACAAGTGAGTTCATATTATTGCAATTATTAATTATTGCAAAAATAAAGTCTATTCGTATCCCAGCACATCTTAGTTATCAGAGCCCAATCCTGGAACCATAGACTGTAACGCATCACAAAGCTGCTCTGCGGCACAGTCGTGATCCGGTGGCAAGCCCTCGGCAGAAGATAGATCTAAGAGGTGGAGTCATTGATGACCAGACCGTTCGCTTGACGGTTTGGTAATGAAGCCTGGCCGGATCGATATGAGTTGAAGAAACTGCTCCGCGTTAGGTTCCGTGTGCATATCAGGTGAATGGGTGGTAGACGGCCGTGAAGCCATCGGTGTCACCGGTTTTTTCATAGTTTTTACCTACTGATCGGATAAATTTGTGGAATCAGCGTTCTTGCTAAGTGGTACTTGTCACGTAGGCGCTGATACCACCAGGCGATCGTGGAACCCCGTGTCAAAGGTAGAATTCCACGGCGAAAGCTTAACGTGCTGCGACGCTGGGCACTGCCCGCCCTTCCCAAGGGTAGAATCCTCTGACGTTACCTGACCTTTGCCGCACCTGCTGCTAACGGCCGCAGTCCATGCCAGCCAGGGCCAAATAATGAGCGAATAAAGCGCCTCGAACTCTCCTTGGCGCCATTAGGTAAATCAGAAGGAAGGCGGCGTAACCAATTTAGCTATTGGAAATACATAAGGAAAGAAAGGGAAATATCAGTTGTCATTTTTTGTGAGCACCTTCAGTATATGGGAAAAACTTTGACACATCAGGGCTGATTAAACGACAGATTAAAACAAAAAAAAAACATGAAGGTATAACATAAGCAGACCAGATGACATAACAAAATCGGATGAGCCATTTTTACGTGCGAAAATGTGGCTGACATTGATGTGTGAAGGGTGATTAGACCATCAGACTAAAACCTTGCAATACATTGTGTATTTTGTTTTCATGACAACCTCGGTAGCACTGAAATCTTACAGTAATACGGCGAGTCATGCATTTGGTTGGCTGAAGCGAAACACTCGGATATATGTCAGGTGCCTGTCATGCATTCTGAGCATGCCAATGATGTTTTTCGTTGTTTTAATTTAGGCCACTTAGTTTTCTCTCGGGGGTCGCAAAATTGGTCCAATCTATTTAACAGCCTCACTTTAGTGATGCAATTGCCTTTTTTTTACAAAATGGAAGCCAGACACAGTTATCAACATAAAAATGGGTAGCATCTTTTTGTTATGCGTTGCTATCCTGTAATAAGTTTTTGTTCGTTATTTGATATGGTTTGTTTGTTGTTAGTTTATTTTGAACATGTTTTGGTTTCGGAAGTAATAATGCTTTTCAAATACTGAAACCTCCCCGCTAAAATAACACCTGATATTTCCCTTTCCTTCTCTTTCGCACTCGGTCCTAAGAGATCAGTTGGTTATAGCGCCTGCATTCCGATTCACTTGATGGCGGCTGGAGGCCGCGAGCCACTTAATGCGCTCATCATTCGGCCCTGGCTGGCATGAACTGCGGCCGATAGCAGCGGATTCGGGAAAGGTCACGTGACGTCAGAGTGTGCTACCCTCAGGGTAGCACGTGCAGTGCCAGGCGTTGCGGCACGTTAAGCTTTGGCCGTAATATGATACCGTTGGCTCGGAGTTTGACGATCGGATGGTGGTGTCAAGACTCACGCAACAAGCACCACTTGGCGTTGAACCAAAAAATATCCATTCGAAAAGCTAGGACTGAATCTTTCAAAAGAGAAAGAAAGCAGCATCACATCGATTCCCCCTTTTAACTTCGGATATCTAGCCGAAATAAGAAAGTATGACGTCATACGCTTGCCACCCACTTCAACGGCACGCGGCAGAACCAAACGCCCACGGCCTCTTGAGCCAATTTGGTCCCGATGGAGCTTCCCTTCCGCATACCGAGAGGCCGGCCGTCGAACGAATAGGTCAGCCATTAATCGTCCTGTCCTCTGCTGCCGAGGCCACGCGCCTGAATCGGCACTGTTCTGCTCAGCAGCTTTGTACTACGTCACAGTCTAGGGTTCTACGGTTAAAAGGAACGTTCCGCATTCGAAGAGACTGAAGCAAGCATCAGATATGCTGAAATGAGCTCACTTATCACTATTGGTATGCTTGTAAGTGCAAATGGCTGCTCTGGACAACGCAATTTGCCTGAGAAGTAAATCTGCTCCTCAATGCGTCATTTTAATTACGTCATCATATCTTGCACAACATTCATTGGGACTCTCTTTCTGCCAAGATGAGAGATAGGCGACACCATATAGCCGCAGCAGCTGAGTGCGCCGTAAAGCCCCAATGACGACAACATTAACTGAAAGCTGATTGACGGCCGTTATATCTGGAAATCGTGCTCACAAACGCCAGTTATAAACCACTCGAAAATAATGTTTTTCTTGCCCTCGATCGCCGCATGCCTAATGGAATGGTAGGATTTTAGTGGCGTTATCAGTGGCGTCATGAGTGTCTGGATGACCATCGAGTAGTCTCCCCGAAAAAGTCTGCACATCTTCCCGGACGTATGGCTCAGAAACTAGGGGAGTTCATGCCTTAAGAAGGGCAGGGTTGTGAAATGCACCCAATGATCTTCAAAATGGCTATTTCATTTTAAAACCCGGGAC